AGCTGCAAAATAGGTCCTTTCAATGGTATTGCGTAAACGTCTCATGATGGTGATGAGCGCTCGTGAGATTTATGGTGCCATTAAATTCTGCTACATACGCTGTCTTCAAATTTTCTTTGCTTCGATGCCCATTGTGCCCTTCTCCGAGAAAGCTGGGGCTTTCTGCAGCTTTAAATAATCGGTGTCAACCTTGCATTGTACCTTGTTTCCCATCTTGAGAAATGACTTTAATCTGAACATAAGACTGCCACATAACGCTAATTCAGTTTACAAGTTTCCATTTGAAAAACCGTCGAGGGGATGGAGGCGGGCACATGCACGTTTTGCACGTTTTATTGTTGCCGAAGCAATATTTTCAAAGGAATTTGCATATATTTTATTTGGCAGTAAACACGTCTTAAAGCTTTGCACTTTCCAGGTGACTTTGAGTCTAGAAGAGAAGTGCGCGGGTATTGGCCACAAATCACTTTATTCTAAGTGAGTAGCTAGAGTTAGGCCTCTCTTCCTACCCCTCATCGTCAGGTTCCGAAGTCCAGCGTACCAAGTTGTCACGAATGAGCTGCATAACAAGCATCGTCTCCGCACGTTCATCTTCCGAAATTTGTTCTTTATCGCCAATTGCTAAATCAAAAGCCTCCTTTCCAATGTGGCAAGCTTGTTCAGGCAACTTGGCTACTTCATAGTAAAACGTCGACAAGTTCAGAGCGATTGTAAGTCTGAGTGGACTTGTCGTCGAAAGTAAGGTCCAAGCAACTTCGTAGGCATCTTTGTAGGCGCTAATGCTCCGTCCCGTTGCATCCTTGTAATCGTCGCCTGTTTCGATTTCGGCGAGATATCCGAGACAATCTGCTTTCCTATAACAGTAAACTGTTAACATAGAGGAATTACAGTTTTAGGAAAAGAGCTTTTTGTTCGGCCTCCAGTTCCGCTTTTAAGAATGATGCATCAATTAAATGAATAAACTTTTGAGCCAGTTGGCGCATCTCTTCTGCAATAACAGAAGAATCTCCATTGGCAGCATGATCTTTAGCAAGCCCCCGCCACTTAAGAAGCTTTGCGTTCATCAACCTATCATAACCTATTGAAAACAAATCCTTTTCTTCGGAGGTGAGTTCAACTCCTAATTCTGCAATGGAATGCATAACTCCAACCATCTATATTTGTTTCATTAAAAAGTCAGATAAAACCTCAAATACCTTCGAAGTTTTCAGCTTTTTCTGCCTCTTTTGCATTGCATAACAGGATTTCTCGGTTTGCCATTAGAGAACGATATCGGTAGTAAGCTGCCATGCAGACTCGCGCAGCGCCAATTTATAGCGTCGTCAGCCTCCCATAATGTTTCCTATTGGACGTTCGCGCTCTTCGCTGATTGGCTAGATTGTCCACGAGCGGGCTCTTTAATATTCTGCGCTAACAGTAAAAACGAGGATAATGCCGAAGGGTGAGCCGCTGTCAGAGTACTTTCGTCGGTTTCTAGTGCACACAAAATCGCATCTTGGGATGCATTATAAGAGGCTCTTAAGCACTTTAGCGGGGTGAATAGTACACTCTGTGTACCAGTCGTATTAAGGAAACCGGCTACCATTTAATTTTGATGAGCTCAACCAAATCCCTAAATGGGAGCCCTAATACAGAAATGTTTGCTATCTACAGCCGCAAATACGTGTGCGTGCTGGCCGCAACTGCAAGCTATGCTCAAGTTATTGTTTGCTGTACAGTAGGTTAACTAACTCATGAAATCCAAGGATTTTTACAAGTAACTCCCTGTTACTCAAACGCGGCCCAAGCTGCGGCCCCCAAAGTCTTACAACAATAAAGCAGTGGTCGTTCTTCATAATAAGGCATATTGTGATTTATGAAGGAATATAAAGTTTTATAGAAATACCAGCTTT